TCTCAGTGAACATTTGAATGGGTTAAGCACGGTTTAAGCACAGTCACAGACTTGTAGTTGGAGGGTGGCTCAATCGGTTCTAAAGCGTGTTTGGGGGATATATCCCTAGGGATCCAAGTACATTCTCAGAATGTGTTTGGAGGCACTGTTATGTAGGTGCCAGGAGAGGCTCGAGTCGTACCTTCTGAGGTTCGGTACGACTGGATCTAGGGAATCCCTCCACTTAGTGGGTCTTGCAGGGAAGTTGGCTGAGGGGGCTTCCCCTATTTGAATCAACAACCCCCCGCCTTCCCTAGAATTCCCTGGACGCGCCCGGGTCGAGACGAGATGCTTCGATGAGGTCCGATCTCAGATAGACCTGAGGTGAGAGAAGTAAAGAAGATGAAACCCTTCTGGGTGTATCACTGTGGGTCTCTTGCCTGTGGGTCTCTTCCAGACCCCAGAACGAGAAGGAAGAGACCCACATGGAACCTGAAAACCGCGGGGTTGTAGAGGAGGACAGTCTTCTGCAAGCAAATGCCAGGACCCACGGTCGGTGCGAGTAATGGCCCACGCCTTAACGCTTTTTGTGGCTATGCAGAGACGGGGCTTTGGTACAGACCACAGACGTTTTAAGTCTTCTTTATCCACATGTCCGGGCAGGTGCTACCAGGGGCCCCACAAACCATCAAAAACTTGGTTTTCCCAAGCAAAATGTTGTTTGTATATGCTTGTATGTATATCATATCTACAGTAATCTGTATGGTATATATGGGTTCGGGGGCAGGAGCTACACTTGCTATACTTGCGTCATACACCGTGCACTCCGTGGAATGATCGATGTGTCCCCGGAAGAGCGAGCTCGGCCCCACCCGCCAGGGAAAGGCTTAGAAGTCCGGGCACATCCGGAGATTGGAGTCTTTGTGGAGAATCTCCAGGCCGAGAGAGTTCTGCCGTGAGTTAGAACCTCTGCCAGGGCGCAGTCAGTGGAATGAATGGAACTTTGGGCAGTGTTCGTGGACCCAAACTTTTTTTTGTGGTGAACATTCAGAACAGGACTCTTGGAATCTTTGGGTGAAGCCTTCTCCTGAGGAAAGATTCATGTTTGTATATTGTTATGTCCCTGGTGGAATCCAGATGGAGTTTTCCGTGCTCCAGAAACGACACCGTCGTTCTTCGCCCGCCAGGAGCTGCCAGTGGAAAGCTTCCGAGACGTCGCGCGGCACGTCGCCCGAGGCGGAGTTCGGAACATGTGCATGATCATTTGCCTTGTTCCTTGAATTGGTTGAACGGAGAACACCATACGGTTTCATATGGTTTTGGATTTTCTCGTCTTACATACACCAACTCTGGGGCTCATGCATGACTCTAGCACTGAACCCAGCCCATGCCAGGCGAGCGCGCAAAGAAGATCGAAAGGACAGCACAGTGATAGAGCATTGGATGTGGGATGTGGCAGAGACATAGCACCTGAATCATCATCGTCCAACCATCTGAAATATACCATAGTTTGTCCGTCAGCTACATGAGCATTCCTTGTACCGCACTGATTGAAGGTCATGAGTGGAAAAGGATCGCCCTTGTGCATATTTGTGCATGAGCTAGGATTACAATCATTGGTAGGGTGAGTAACCACAACCACCAGGGAAGTTCCGGGTTGACTAGCTTGTTCGGGGCATTGGCAGTCGCACAGTCTGGCACAGTTTCTGACGCTCGCGAGTACCACCATGAATAACCGTTCCAGCCGCTCTCATACCATTTTCTCCTTTAAGGCGCGAAGCTGTGTGGCAGGGGGGTTGTTGTTTTCTTGTTGGTGAGGGCCCGGTGATGGCTCAGAAAGAGGTGAATGGCAATACATACATCCTGGTGAATGAAGTCCATTTGCTTCCAACCTGTTTGTCACCGTTGTTTTTGAAACTAGATCTATATGCTGTGCCCCGTTACTTATATACCAGCAAGAGTCAGTAGAATGCTATCACATTTAATACTTTTTACTAATACCATCCATCATCCATTGTTACTGGCCATAAGACATAGGACAAGTTCTTGGTTCTCCTTCGGTTGACATCTTCATTTGGAAGAAACTGTGTTCTGAAACTGTATCTATACCAGTTGTGAGAGCAAGATGCAAGATGGATCAAGATGGGCAACCATCTATTCATGAGGACGACCACCGCGGCATTGTCACAACAGCGCTAGGTGGAAGTACGTGGAACCGGGCACAACAGCCTCTCCACGATGCAGGTGTGAGCTGCGGCCGTTTGTGTGCAGCAGCTGTGTGGTGGATGTTGTGGGAGGATTGGGGATTTGGGGTGGATGAGGTACTCCACACAATTGGCCGAAGAATGATTTACCCTCCCTGCAACAAACTATGGAAGTGGACTGTTGGACCCCTGGAAAGACCATAATAAATTCGAATGCCGGGGTCCGCAGCCATGGTTGTTGCGGGGAGTGTGTGACATGTGTGAAAGCATCAATGAAAGACCAAAAGGGTCTTGACTACGGGGTGATTGTAGCTCACACATGCTGGGTGTTTTTTGACTGCTTATCAGGCTTATCACCTTTGGTTCCTCCTCTTTTAGTGCAAAGCCATGGTCTGGTTTGAATGAGTTCCTGCATGGACGAGTGGCAGGAGTGAGCTGAAAAGCCTCCACAATAGCAAGGGCCCGACCATTCCCGACCGCTTGCACCGGACCACGGTCGTCCACACGTCCGTCCGCTCGTTGGGGGGTCGGTGTGTCCAGGTGGTGGACCTGGCGGGAAGGGAGAACGAGCAAACCTCGGAGTGCAAGGACGAGCGCTTTCGGGAGCTCAGGCGGGTCAGATGTGAGGTGTTGATCCTTAAGGCCAGTCGCAGTGGCACTCGTGAAACATATAGGACCTTTTTGTGTCCAAAAGCCATCAAAGGTAGGTGAACTTGACCTAGATGCAGCCCCACGTGGGATGTATAGATATGTCACATCCAGTCCCTTGAGAGCCAGCGAGATGCTGGGCAGGTTCATCAACCGGAGCCTTTTTGAGTTGGCCAACTGCATCTCCGCCCTTTGCGATGGGAATCGGGAGCACGTGCCTTTCAGGCACGAGAATCGGGCTGAGAATTGGGGTGATAGGGGGGGCTTTCAAGAGATGAAGACAGTTACTGTTCCCTAGGGATCCAGTCGTACCGAACCTGTCTACACACCAGTGCACCCTGGACCCTCCTTGCACCTACATGTCTCAGTGTCGAACACATCACCGTACCTCAGAGGGTATGGTGGATTGTTAGAGATCTATACCAGCAGTCAGAGGTCAGGGGTGCGATCCATGGAGGTAGTCGGAGTGCCCAGCTACATCCACTCACGTAAGAGGACGTTTCACACCACCCCGAGCTCTGTGACTCCTGGTAGTTCTGCATATATAAACGCCAGCTTCGCCATGTTTCGCCAGCAGTCGCATGTAGTCTGGTATAAGTGCCAAACCTCAGGAAGGCCATGCGTCTTCCAACGTGACTCCAGGAACTCCAAGCTCACCATGCTGCCCGGAGCTCAGCTACATCAGGAGAACCCGCGGTCTGGAACGGTAGAGACCCGCATGGTAGAGGTATAGCGGTTCAACGGGGGTTGGTAGGGCGCGCTGGGCCTGGGTATAGGTGTGCGATTCACTATTGCATTGAACACTTTTTTGAGTTGAGATGAGATCATTTCTTGCGAGAATCAACTGGACAGAGAAGTCATCCATGAATTGTTTTCCCCTATTGGACCTCCAGGTTGTCGGACAGCCTCTCCAGCAACAGCCGGACCACTTTGCTGGCCACTCTGACGCCCAGCCCCACAGGCGGGCGCAACCAGACAGGCGGTGCATGCTGAAGATGGGTATGGAACGGTCATGGTGCAACAAAGCTGGTCATCAGTCTGGAATGGACATGTTGGTTTAAGATGGTTTAAGTTTTTTCTTCCTGTTCTCAAGAGGTCCACTTCTTTGCCTTGAAGATCATTCTTAGGGAGGAAACAACTCAAAACGTTGCGTCTTCCTCACCCCAACCCTTGGAGGCGCAAGCCAGATGCTTTGATTCCAAAGAGCCAGCCACCTGCTCAATTGAATTGGCTGAACCAGGTGAACCAGGTTGTTTTCGCACCCCGCGCTGCACGCGCACCGCGGTCCTTCCATCGTTCGTGGTGGGAGGCTTCGATGAGAACATGTTGACCTGCCGGTTCTTGGAATCCGCTGGCGTGGGAACCCGGTGCGCAGACTAGCGCCCAGCCGCAGATGGCATCGCCGATGGTTCTCAATGATGCCCTGCAGGTTCTTTTTGTTTTTAAACTTTGTTTTGTAACGCACATGAATCACATGAAGAGAGAGTCATGATGTTTTGATATATTTATGCATTCAAGATGTTCTAGTTAGTTGGCTCTAATGGCTTCTTCGGGGCACTCGGGGGTTGTTTTTTTTTTCAACACATTCCAATGTGTTTGTGAGAGTTCTGCTCTGCGTCTTCCCAGTTGCAACATGTGCATGGCATTCAAACGACACCGCTGTGATCTTGATTGACAGATTGAACCGCTGGGAAGCTGCGCTGAATGAAGCTGAAGTCTATGCCCTGCTCGTGAGTTTCATGGATCTCCACCCATGAAACTCTGTCAAGTTGCTGGCGCTCCGGAGGTCTTTGGGTTCTGGAAATGCATTGTCTTTTTGGTTACAGTTGCATTCGTGCTATCGGAGCCATTGAGGCCCTCAAGTGCTCATGTCGCAAGGAAGATGTGCCACTGAAAACACCAGCTCGTTTGTAAGGGGATCCTTGTCAGGCTGAGGAAGGAAGGTTACATTGTCCTTCTCAGGTTCGTCACAGCCAATTTGTTGCCTCCATGGTCCCCTTCAGGAGAACATGTGACTAGCCTCCCTTTTTTTGCCAATGGATGAAAACATGAAACACATGGCAAATCCAGGTGTAGATCTGGGTGCGGTGAACAGTGAACTTTGTAGGTGGACCTTCCATACAACTCAAGACGCGTGGAAGGTGTTTGACATTCAAAGATACCCCACCACCGCAAGAAAATCAAAAGCCTCTTCGCGCCGACTGGCGCTACTACATGGCGCGCGATCTGGCGCCTCTGACTGGGCAACCTTTGATGCAGCGATGTTCCTTGGGTCAGTGCAATTAAAGGGGTCTGGTGTTTCTCTGCCTACACCTGGGACTGGGCTTGGTTTGGAGTGTCCAGACCTACCTCCTCCTTAGAGGTACGTCTGGAGCCCTATAGGGTTTGGAGGGAGCGCATGGTGGACATGTGAGCTCACAAACTGTTCCACGACACCTCTCAATTCAGCAGAGATGAACTGTTCCACGATCATGCTGAGGACGACCTGCAGCGAGGTGGGCGAGCCCGTGTGCCATGACGGCCTTGAGCCTCTCACGCTGCGCTTGGATGAGGACAGCGTGATGTCGCTCGGAGAATGCGCTCCCCATGCGGTGCTGCAGGTCCCGGAGAGGTCCTATGAGGTGGTCCCTATTGGGGGTCGGATGGGTGGACGTAGCAGCAGGCATGCGGACATCGACCTTTGGGCAGCATGGAACATATAGTGTTTGCTGTACAGGGCGTGCCGCAGAATGGAGTCATTCGGAGGATGCTTCGGCGATCTTCGTTGTTTCCAACAAGTGAGATGTGACCAGGTGATTCGTACCCCGGTAAGGTGCCAGCGCAAGGGCGAGGGCGACGACAAAGAAGGTCCTCCCAAGATCCAATAATCACCAATACCCAGACGTGACCCATGAAACTGCCATAATTAGGACTGCCGATCAGTTGGGGTGGTGGCAGGGGGGTCAATTGATCGGCAGTCCTATGGCAGTCCCATGGGTCGCGTCTGGGATATTGAAGTGTTCCGAGCTCGTTGTTTCGTAGACCATTGATCCAATGGATGCCTTTGGGTTTGGAGGCCGTTCCCTCATCAATTCCAACCAAGAGAGGTTGAGAGACCATAGGATGGACCCTGTAGTACGTACATAGGCTGGATGGATGGACTAGACAGGTGCTGTTCAACTCCAACTCCAAGGGCTGGATCGCCTGTCTACAGGTGCTACCTGCCACAGCTCCTGGAGAGTCCCTCCAGGGCCACTAGCTGCTACACTGCACTGGCTGAGACGCTGCAGAGGCTGCTGGCCACCGTGCCGGCACCGCCGAAGGCTGCGGGTGGGGGATGTGGTTGGGTCATGGGATGTGGTGAATTGCCATAGCGCATGATATAGAAACATGTTACGCTATCACTACATGGACAGTGCAGTGTAATAAAGTGATCAAGCCCTAGGGCTACAACCACCTCCTGAGAAGGTGGTGGAGGTGGGTGCCAGGGGTCTAACCACCGAACCTGAGGGTATGGGACAGGAGCCCTAGGGAAGTGCTTGATCACCTCGTTAGGAGGAGATCTGGAGGGTCAGCTAACTCTCTCTCTCTTGGCAAAGTCGCTGAACGGCCTGAACATGCGAACGTGAATCAGGACTCCTCCAGTGAGAACGACCGGGCTCAGTTCTATGGCAGCGGGAGCTTTGGGAAGGCCTTGGTTCGGTGGGTGAGAAAGGTGGAGAAGCCGTGTGAAGATCCCAGGACTTCCCTTGATCAATTCTTTTGCATATTCCCTAGGGCTGGCCCACCTCCTGAGAAGATGGGACTGGGGTGGGTGCCAGGAGGATACGGGACAGGAGCCCCAGGGATTCTGGGACCAATGTCCGCCGCATTTGCATCCATTTGCGGGAGTTGCTGAAGCCTCGACCTCGGCCTTGGTTCGGAAAGTAGACCAGTCTACCCCGCCGAGCGGGGGCGATTGAGGCCTCAGGGCTTTCCCCCTCTGCAACACCCAGCGGATCAGGCCACGCTGGTGACGTGTGGTGCTTGGCCCCCTTCCTCAGGGCGACTTCCGCTTCAACCCCCGCTGGTGCCTGGCTGGTCGTGCTTTGGAGGATGAGCCGCTTGGAGGATGGTAAGGGGTCCGGACAGGCGCCGGTGTTCCGCGGGTGCGACACCGTTATATCTAAGAATCCACTACTGGACAAGTGGCCGGTCAGGCCGACGGGGTCAATTGTTCTGATGCTTCGAGGGGTCTATAGGTAAATATGCCAGTCCCATGGATGGTGTAGGGTAAGCATGGGTAAGTTATGACACTTTGCCTCAGTGGAAGTTGCTTGTCTTGTATAGAAGGTGAGACAGAAAGAAGTTATATAAGTACTGTCAACAGTTCATTTACATAAATTTAGCCATTGGGCAGCAAAGCCTACCCTGTCAATGGATAACCTTTAACATACTTTAACCTTTCTGTTGGGGGGGATTAATTGGTTTCCCCACTCAACATAAACAGATGGAGGGAGTCATACGGAACTGTGGACTTGGCGACGGCACAAGCCGGTGCCTCCTGCGCCCGAGTCTATAGACTGATGGCCTCCACCGGCTGCGAGCACCAGAATCCACCCACCACCTGCGAGCGACATGTTCGCGAGGAATTTGAAGGAGGTGCTGTACCTCAAGGAGAGGGTTGAAGAAGAGACACTGCGGACCTTACAGGGTTTGCCTGATGAGTGCAGTTCCTGGGCAGCAGTTCAGGTCACCTCAGCACATGGTGCGTGATGGATTCAGATACAGCCTGAGGATCTGGGTCAAATTCCTTGTCCCATTCATCAAGAGTGATCCTCCCAGCTATTCCCAGCTACTGCAGCTTTGAGAGTGCAACTCCTGGGCACTAACAGCAGCTGGTCGGTCCAGTTGCACCAGTTAAGGAGAGGTTGCTCATGGGCTGAGCGAGCAAGCAGAGAGCCTTGGGTCCGAGCTCGAGCCCTTCTTCAACAGTGCACCTTGACAGCAGTCGTTGGCGTCGCTCAGGCAGAGCCGGCGGCGGAGAAGCTCGGGTGTTTGGGTCGGTGTACAGATTGAGGTAGCCCTGGGGAGCGAGGATATGATATCTCCTAGAAGATCCTTTTACATTTGGCTCCACTGCTCTTGGGCTCCACTGGTTTGACCATGGTAATTGGCATGATCCTAGAAGATCTGGCTCCAGTGGTATTTGGCCCCACTGGTTGCGAAGATGGTGGAGATGCTTGTAGTGCTCCCTCTTGATGCGGACAACGGACCACGGCCCCTCCGGACCCTCCGCAGCTTCCAGTGAGAAGCTTCCAGTCACCAAAAGGGGTGCTGTTGAGTCCCTCTAGAACTCTATAGGCCCTCTAGGCCCTAAGTGAGTGGATGATAGTGGATGTTTGTTCGGCACCCCGACATGTGACTCTAGTGAAACAGCTTGGCTGGGTGTGATTGGTGTTTTCCGTCGCAAGACCTCGTCCCAGGTCTTGGTGAACTTCTACCTGGATGGACGGGCTCAGATCAAGTGGCATGCCGACGACGAGCACCTCAAAACAAGCGAATTCAGTTGTGTTTTTGCTTTTGTTTTTTTCTCGGGGTTCCCCATGCGAATGTGCATCCAAAAGCGGTCGGACATGGATGTAGGGTTCTTCATCCGGATGTACGGTGCGATACGTAAAAATAGGCGTGAAGCATCTGAAACCACTATAGGACTTGTTGGTTGCTTGAAGGCGGGGTTGTAGGAAGGGAGCAGCTTTGCTGCCTGCTTATTCACAAGAGGAAGGAAGGAAAGGAAGGAAAGGAAGAAAGAATGAAACAAACAAAGAAAGATCAAGAGCAAGGCATCAGACATGACAGGCAATATAATTGGCATTCCAATCCATTGGTCTTTCCAAGCCTTCCCCCGGTCTGATGCGCATCGGCCACTTATTCTTCTTCATTCTTCCAGCATGTGTTAAAGAAGCACAATTCCATACATTTCCCACATTCCTTATACAGTGAGTCAGCTTTTGACCTCATTGCAGCAAGTCCCAGATTCCTTAAATTACAATCTTATCTGTTATAGAATGACCTTTTGGCCTCGTTGCAGTAACACCCCCCTCACCAACGACGCTTCTTCTGTTCTCCGAGGAACTGCTATGGTCCTGCCGAGCGCATCGTCATCGGTTGGCCGACCGCGTTGGGGGGGGGGGGGGCCGTGGGATAGGAGCTGTCGGGGAGACCGGCTACTTAGCCGACTTCGCCGGCCAAATGCGGCCAAGCCACCAAGGTTGGAGGGACTGGAAGGATGGGATTTTCGATTTTGGATGGATGAAGATCCATGGGAGGGTCATCAGTTTGCTGAGCCCTGCATTGGGTCCTGCTGGAATCTCATTTTCTTGCATGCTGGAGATTACGTGTTTCTTTGGGGTGAGATGGTGTGTGTGATCAGATCGATGATTCATCCGCCAACCCCTGAAGCACCGTGCACCTTGCACTTCTAGTCACAAACATAAAGCACGCCTTGTGCTTCCATGCGATGTTCTCTCTACATGTGTCTCTTTAGGGGTGCTTGAACTTAAAATGGTTCCATGCGCCCCAACTCTCTACATATGTCCCTACAGGTCCAGTGGGACCCAGTACAGCCTGGCCCTGAAAACCTCATTGAGTGGTGTTTTGATTCAGTTTTGATTGAGTATATACCCAGACCCTCCATGTATGCCATGCCGATCAATTGACGCCCCTGGCACCACCCCAACTGATGGGCATATATACCAGTCCCATGTGTCGCGTCTGGGATAGTGTTTATGATATGTCCCAAACACTCCATGTATGGCATATTTACCTACATTGACCCCATAAGACCACTCCAATGTAGGCATATATGGCATACATGGAGTGTTTGGGTGTTGAACTCCAGTCGATTTGGGGGTCCCTTCCTGACCCCGTCCCTCCCAGGCTCCGTCTCTCTGGGCGCCCCACGACCCTTCGAACTCCGGCGGACGCCACGCAAGGGCGACGGGCGACACTGGCCTGAGAAGCGGATCAGGTGATGTTGTGACGAAACCCTATTGGGTAAATCTCTTGGCCTCGCTCTCTAGGGTGGAGGCCAGCTACTAGTTAGCTACTAGTAGCTATGCCCAGACGACCCATGGGACGGCCATATTTATGCCTAATTACCTTGGGGTCGTGGTGGTGCCAGGCGGGTCAATATGTATAGGCATATATTCCAGTCCCATGGAGTGTATGGGTATGTTTAAATCCTCTTCTGGAAAATGTGCTGTATTTTTCCAAGTTCCTTATTTAAGCAAATAGCTTGGGCGGGTGGGCTCGCTTTTGTTGGGGGTCGTGTTTCTCGGTGCCTTGCTCACTCTGGGTCGGCCTTTCACACATGGCTTCCTTCGGGCCATGTCCATCTGGAGTGATTTCGGGGGAAAACACCATGAAACGGCCCCAAGAAGTTCTTTGGGGTTCTCCCACCCAGATGCTCCATGGGACTGCCATATTTATCTACCTTGACCTCTTTTCAACCACCCCTGGCCGTTTTGAAGGCAGTCCGTCCTGGCAGTCCATGGGTCGTGTTACCCGAATTGCACCGGTGGGACCGACCGAGTTGATGGGCCGTTTCGCCACCTTGGTTCTACCTGTTGGAACTGACTGGGCTTTTCGAAACAGATGTAATTCGGCCACCCAAGGGCATGGATCGGAAACACATGTATATAATTGGGTCCATCCACTGCACGCCAGTCCCTTCAGGGGGGGTCAAAGAGGAAACAAGTCATCAAAGAGGAAGCTCTGGTCCTCTAGCTAAATTCCAGCTCATCCTGGCCTGGTTAATCAAGGGAGTGTGTTTCCTTGAGCACTGAGAATGTGAAAAAAACTTTCACCAAAACACGCCCAGGAAATTTCCAAGTATAACCGCATTGAAACAAAGAAGATGCGCCTGCCCTGCTGCAGGAAATGCTCAGGAGCGGCGAAGGATTTGGCTGCAGCCGGGCTCCCTGCTGATCATGGCAGGCGAGGCATGGCATGGCTTCCATGTCAGGACCCAAACAGGTGTGACTCACCGCACCTTGCAAAGGCCAAGCCTCGAATGGAACAGTCATCAAAGGAGTCTACTGGAACCCTCATGCCCCTCCCCCAACACCCACCAGGGTCTCCCTCCGTTTCACGTTGGCACCTGGAGAAACCCCCCTGATTGCTGGGCGCTCCACAGCTCTCAACCGGTCGCCCGTGTTCCACAGCTCTCAGCGAGGCGCCATGCAGGCGAAGTGGCAACACTCGCTGCCTGCAGAGACGCGGACACAAGTGGTTCGTCCTGGGTCCTGCATTGATCGAACGGCGAGGTGAGTCAATACATGGGACCTGGATCGGTTCGTGCCCAACCTCTTTGCAGTCTCTAATGTCTCTCAGTGACCTTGTACAGATCTTTAGGCGACCTCATTCTAGGATCTCAAAAGGTCCCCTTTTGAAGGTCCTGGTTTATAGTGTTTTTTTTTTTCTGCTGGGTTTGGTTGAGTCAATCCATGGTGGCTTGGGTAGGCCGGTGGAAGGCTTTGGGGTTGGGTAAGGTGACTGTGGTCAAAGTGGTAGACCAATGAAAGCCCCACTGGCTCATGGCAGTGAAGAGCAGCTACAGCTGGAGCTCGAAAAGAAAATGCCTGTCCTCAGCTTCTCCAGGGCCAGTGGCACTGGTTGTTGTTCACTCTTCAGTAACCCTATGGATCCACATACCTTCTCAGAAGGCAATTGGGTCCCCCAAGCCTACATAAATAGTCTCCAATCACCATACCTGAGAAGGTATGTGGATCCATGGGGGTAATGTTTTGGTGCCCAACTTCCACCAGAGGTTGAATGACCCTATAGACTATCCCAGTTCGGTACCCCAGGTTACGGGTTCTATGGTCCCGGTCACTGGCTACCTCTCTTGGGAAGCACTGAGGATCCCACCTGCTCCACGCCGCGCATCAACCTCACCTTCCGCCGCATCGTGGGTCCGCGCCGCCGCGGCGAGCCCGAGCCTTCGCCCGCGGACGACCAGCAGCGCCCAAAAGGGGAGAGAAAACAGACCGCGGAGCGCGCTCCCGCGCCGACGTGCGGAGCTGGGGAGGAGAGAGTGGTGCCACAGAAAGAAGCAGGTGCAGGTGGAAACAAGTGCTTGTTCCGTGCCAACTTGGCAATCCTGGCCCTTGAGAAGGGGTAGGAAGTCCACATTTGGAGTTGTGTCCTAGGTTTGGCACAAGAACCAGATTTGTTTTCAGAGAAATTCCTTACTGTAGTGGCTGTGGCTGTTTTGCGGAATCGTTCTCCTCCTTCCAAGCCATCTTAAACCACAAAAAAACGCGAAAACGACCTGAAACATTCTGAGGCTATCAACCTTGAACATGACACTCCAAAGGTTTTGCTCAAAGAATGAACCTCCAAGGGCCCCCTCAGGGGGTGTCTATACTAATAGCCCCAGGTTCCAGGGCTGTCCATTAGCCACCTGTTTGGGGACCCTGGCAGTTGTTGATCCTGGCCTCAGGTTCTATTTGATTGATCGTGGCGATGTTGGTTTTGTTCCTCATCATGCCATCCACCACGCATCCACCTGGCCTCAGGTCGTGTGACCACACAGCCCGTGGCGAACCGCTTTGCGGCGGCCGAGGTGGCGCGACGTTTGCAGGCGCAGCATGGGTGGCGAGACCAGACGAATGGACGAAGGGGGATTGATGTTCATCCATGGGATGTGAAGATAGCCTCAATGAGAAGCACATGTATTGACCATGGAAGCATGCATGGATCGTGCCGCCCATGGATTGACCGGATGGGATGTCAACTTGTCCGGCTAAGCCATGGATTGACCGTTCTTTTGCGTTCCTTATGAAGAGGTTTGTGGTGAGAGATCATAGAATTTGGACTGAATTTCTCTGTGGAGTTAAAAAAGTGACAGGATTAATCCTTCTAGATTCCTCAAAAGACATTGCATTAAAACTTTGTGCTAACCAACGCTGATCTCACATATTAAGTTACTCGACTCACACCCTCCTCCGGCCCAATCACCCTCACCCACTAGCACTGCATGCGCGCACTGCCACAAACCACCCTCTCCATGCACTCATTTCATCCAACCACCCCTCTACACCCAGGCGTCACACCTGCCCCGAGCCCTGAGCCCTGCTTGCGTTCGCGTGCGCATCGCGCGTGCCAGGACGAGATCGCATCGCTGAAGCCGATGGTGGTGGAACCCAACACGCCCCTGGCCGATGAGCTCACGCTCCGCGAGACCTTGCTGCGGCAGTTCTCCCTGGTCTGGGCCGAAGACGGCCAGGCGGGGCCGGCGCAGGGAGCGAGTGCATGAAGTGGCGAAGTGAAGGGTGTGGAAAGCATGTGGGATGCGGCAGCACCACAGAAAGCGTGGTTGATGGAAACTCCTCTTCATGTGGTGGCAGCATGTGGGTTTCTGCTTCCTATAGGGTATCTAAAGGTGTTCATGTGGGATGTGGTTGATTAATGTTTATGGACACCTATGATAGCAGATATAGACACCCCCCCACGGCCGAATCTTGGTCGTGGCGTTTGACCTACCTGGAGACTGACGAGTCGCCGCGTCGCGGTTATATAGACACCCTTGACTAAACACCCAAATCACCAACCCTTGACTCTAATGGTCATTGTTTTACGCTTCCAATCACCAGCCTCTTTCTGTTGGTGAAAGGGTCTTTCTTCTTCAGCCCTTCTGAGTTTTATAGCGAGGAACCTGCTCAAGTTCGTACCGGTCCCTATGGTAATGAAAGAGTTGGATCCAATCCGTGGACCCCCAGGATTTTGTTTTGAAAGAAAAAGTGCCGGGGAAATGGACAGAAGCACCTAGAAGATCATAGAAGCCCCTAAGCTTCATCCAAATAGCTGGACTCATTCTGAGCCGATGCCACCTTGCCTGCAGTGGGGGGTGCTTGTGTGCTTGTGCTACTGAAGCTTGGGACCAGCCTTGGGGCCACACCCGTGTGCTATCCGGTTCAGCGAAGCACCTTCCGCTGCCAGGATCATGAGGCCGGGTCGAAGTGGAGGGGAATGGAGAAGTGGTGAGGGGATTTGGTGGGGGGAGCCTCCAGATGATGATCAGGAGTTCCTGGGTCATTGGATTGCAATCTGGAAACATGTTTACCATTGGGTTTGCAATCGGGAGTCTGTTAAGCAATTCGTCAGATTCTTGAGGAGGTTTGAAGGTTGAGGTCAAAGTGGTTGCCACTTTGCTGCAAGTCTAAGTGACTTGCGCAGTTCACTAGGAACCAAGATGTGTTTCTTGCTTCCTTGAGATGTGGAGATTGCCAGACTACCTGGGATCTTGAGCGCAGGTGGTGCGGTCTGACAAAGCCTTGTCACAAGATAGAGAATAGAGTTCACGAGAAGTTCAAGACACCCATTCGAACTAGAAGTCCGGTCCTACTTAGCCCTTTGTCTCCCAAACCAGGATGTTTGATGCCACTCTCATGTTTGATGCCAGCGACCCAGACCCGGTTATTCCAATTCAACAAACCAAACATGCTTCATTGTTTTTTCCAAACAGCAACCTGTCACCTACCTAACCTATACATAGCCCTGGCAACCTGTCCCAAACAAAACATGCTTCATTGGTCAAAGACTTCAATGAAGTCCGACCCTCCAAAACCCTTTCGCCTCTTCCCCTCTTCGTGTCCTCTCCGACGTGGAGTCGCCAGGCAACTGACGAGGCGTGGCGTGGCCTTGCGCCGCGACTAGGGATGGGATGTGGGTCGGCCTGAGGAAGAAAAAACGGTTGATTCCGATATAAAAGATACATCTTCCTATACCCTAGGGCTCCAAGTACCTTCTTAGAAGGTGTTTGGGGAGGGTTTAGAGGAGCCCTAGGGATATATTAAAAATATCATCCGGTTGGCGTCTTTTATTATTGGGGCGTATAGGAATCAACATTATACGCCCCAACTTCTGACCTGCCCTGGAAAAGTGCCTCACCTGCAGTTCGCCCCATGGCAAGCACCACTGAACAACACGTGGCTGGCTTGGATTGCCTTGGCACATGGATGCCCATGGGTGTCAAGCGCACAAAGAGCTCAACCGAACTATCCTGAGTAGAAGACACCGCCATTGGTCAAACTTTGCCGGCCAAGCTCCTCACACTGTCAATTGTCATGTTGTACAAACGTGACCAGTGAATATTGTATGCAAACAAGTTATAGACCTGTGCATGTAGAGCTGGGTGGTTGTTTCAGGTATGGCCTTGACTTGGAATGATTGAGCCCACTGACCCTTTATCTTTCCAAGCGGGCAGAGACCACCAACCAGAGACCCGACTGTCGGTGTCAAGATGATCTTTCAGTCGCGAAGGCGCAGCGATGTATCGATGTCCAGCCCTTTGCAGGTGACCCTGGTACAAGGGGCTTGCAAGCAGTCGTGGCCTAAGAGTTGCGAAGGCAATGAAGGCAACTCGCCCTCCACCCTTTGATTCATCCGCTGGCGCTGGCTTGAGTCTAGGACAATGTGAATTCACCTGCAACCTTTGTTAGCTTAGTGCCATCTTACTGCCGGCTTCCCAATTGGCTCATTTCTTCCCAAAGGCGTAAGGCCACCGCGCGCATCCCCATCACCTGCGTCGCGCCGCGCACCACGAGCACGCATCACGCAGGGTGGCCAGTGGCCTGCGCACCGCTTCCGAGACGCTCGCGCGCCCCTGGGCGCGAGGAAGGGAAGGAAGTGGGTTCTCCATGCCCTTCCGGGGCCCAAGGACCCAAAGGGGTATATAACCCCCTTCAGCAGTTCAGATGAACTGGTTCAACCTAAGGGGATGGGACCGGACGGACCGGACCTCCATGGGCTTTGTTGGTTTGGATGAACTTGGTGGAGACACATCACCAACCAGACAAAAAGATGGACAACGACGGACAACGAGGGCTCCATTGCGTGGTGGTTTTCTGCCCCAAATTCCTACATGGTCCATTTTCATGTTGCAGAACTGCTTTGTAAACACATTATGGCACTGAACGGGGCGGCCATAATTGCTAACCCTGGCCGTTTCGGCGGGTAGGCAGAAATTCTGGCGATCTCAAAAAACCTAGGGATCGCAGAGTCTCCGAGGGAGACCTCAATGCCCCCTTCCTTTGTACTTGCCCCATGGCACTCCATGGGACTGCCATATTTGCTGGGAAGGTTTGGGCGGGCGCCCACGCCACACCACTCCAAACACCGGCACTGTGCACCCACCTGTCCGAGAGGGGGGTTTGGGTGGTTTTGGCCTACAGTATATTCTATCCAGATGCTCCTGGACCAGAGGCTATTAGGCTATGGAGGGATTGGTCCCTCATATGACGGGTCTGGGATCTCAAATCCCTAGGTTTTTGAGGCACCAACAGGCTGTTTGGAGCGTATATTTCTAGTCCGTGACAGGTCGTTTCTGTCGGGTGTCTCCCCGGGCATTGGACGTTCCAGCCAAGGCCTTGAGCACACGAATCACAGCGCTTCGTCGGCTCTGAAGCAGGCGAAGCCGAAGCCGAGACGGCGAGGTTTCTCTCGGTCGCGATCCAGGGGGTCAAGGACGTCTTTGGGGGTTCTCAAGACCAAACTTAGTTGAACCAGCGGCCAGATTTGTTTGTTTGCCATTGGATTTCGCAAGAGAAAAGCTTGCTGAACCTTTCAACCAGGTTTCGGTTGATTGCTGATGGCCATAGTGACGCTCAGTTGAACGGAATCACATGGAAGTGGATGGCATGTTCCTATCGGGAAACCATGGGGAAAACTTGCGCAAAGA